TTAGCTAAAAGTATAATTACGAAGCAATAACTGAAGGTAAGACTAATTTAAAAGTTCCATAGTAAAGCTAAAACTAAGTACAAGTTTTGATAAAACATTGACCCAGATTAGGGAGTCCTTGGCCTACAGTGGGGTGTACAGTATATAGTGCGCGCTGTGTGGTGAGAGAGACAGCCCCACTCCACTACCCCTCACGAGTGCGTATTACCAGTGGTATTGATAAACATGATAACATGATAACAAACCTTTTCCTTCTCCCCCCTTCGCTCCTTCCCCCCCTCTCTTCCTTCAGCTATGTCTCACCTCCCAGTTAGTCTTACGCAGTGAAGTGTGGCGGATGAAGTGTGTGGTGGTGGGTTTTGAATTTTTAAACTGTGTGCTGAGACTTCGGGTGACGCTTCGTTTTGCATAGTTACCCACTCGAAGTAAACAGAGGCACATACTTTAGTTTTTTTAATAGTTTATTTACTAATTTATTAATCTTTTGTTTTTAAATTCATAGTTTAAGAGAAAAAGTGTATGGAAAACGACTGAAATAAAGCCAAGATTCTTACAGCTTCGAACTTTACGTAACTGAGGTAAAAACAATTTCTTCTTAGGTCTGCACTATTGAGATATACCAAAGGAAAGGCGAGTCATTTTCATTTATCTGCTACGCTTGGTCTAGCTGTTTACCGAGAATACGTTTAAACATCACTGTGGCTTGGCACTATATGAACCAGAGGTGATATTTGTTGGTGTTGTGTTGTGTTAGAGTTGATAGGGTGTAAGGGTGGAGGGTAGTGTTGTATTGGTTAGGAGGAAGGTGAGGGTGTTCGTGTTGGATAACACCCGGTACCGTCTAGATTGTGTTCCGTGGTAATGACACATCCGGCCTTATTTATTGGAGATATACAGCGTCATTGAGGCATACAGTATTAGCAACACATCTGGTATTCAAGTTATAAGAGGCATACGGCACTGTCAACACATCCGGCATTAATAGTGAAGAATACATCGGCATCAACACTTCCGGCATGAGTCGCATTAGGCATACAGCACAACCACCACCCCCCCCTCCTGGAGACGAAGTGTGGCGGAAAAGATGAGAAGATCACTAGTCCGGACAAGGGTGTGTCGTGACCCGCGAACAATAGGAGGGGGCTGCCACCTTCCACCACAACTGACCCACCTCAAGTACCTCCTTCACCCTCGAGTACCAGCGTAAGGGAAGGTGTATGAGGAGGGGGAGGAGTGGTAGGAGGAGAAGTGGGAGGAACATTTTATCAAGGACAAGAGAGTGCTAACCAATGTCATGATGCAGATAGCAGATGGTGTAGTCTCATATGGGGTTTTCCTCTCTATGGTCCGTCGGTGATACACCCTCCTGACTACCAGCTCTTCTTGTGCCGTAAGCTATGATGTTTAACTAAGAGGGACATGTAGAGGGTCTTCAAAATACATCACAGAGACACTTAACAGAGGCACTGATCTGTCCAGCCAGTGACGTTGTTTGTACGTATTACCTCTGATAAGTAACTGTCTGGCCTGATGTGTACCGGAACCGTTATTAACACCTGTGTTTTATTAACACCTGTGTTTGATGGCTGGCTGACACTAGTAACTTATAAGATCCTTTGTTGAGTCCAGTTCACTTATGTAGAGTCCAAGTCACCTATGCAGAGTCCAGGTGGTTACTTATGCAATAGAAATACTTAACCAAATGTGATTTTTAACGTAGTACTTAATATTATTTATATTTTTACACTTCTTGAACTTCTTTTTAATTTATATCATCATAGTTTTAACTTATGATTTTCCTCATTGCCAAAGGTCACTAGTGTAGGTTCCGTACAGCTGTCCATGACTTTAGTCCAAGACTGTACACACTCTCTCTCTCTCTCTCTCTCTCTCTCTCTCTCTCTCTCTCTCTCTCTCTCTCTCTCTCTCTCTCTCTCCGTGCGACAAGGGCTGCTGCCTCATGACGCGTCCCTGAGCCATGACTCATATCCTAAAAATTGAGAGGTCCTGTGTTTGGATAATGGGAAGATACAGGGAGTGTTTATGCAGGATTCTACCATATATATTTGTATAGCGTTGTTATATTTACGTTGTAACATCATTTTATTCATGTATAGGTAAATGACAAGACCTAAGTGTTTCTATGTTAATATTCAGTACCCGCACCTGGTTTGTGTGTGTGCGTGCGCGCTCCGGTGTATAGTTTAGATTATGATCAAATGATTGCGTGGTTAGGGTTGTTCTACGTTTCCCCTTCACAGCAGCCAATCACGGTGTCTGAAATTGTGGTGTGACGTGATGTTGGTCAATCATGAGAGAGGTGTAGAGTTTTATCCAATAGAATGCTAGTATGTCTGCTAATATATACAGGAAAATATGTTATCCTCTGCAAATGTAGTATCTTTGGCGTGCTGTAAAGATAAATTAGTGCAGCAGTAAACTTGGCCCTGATAACGGATGATGGCGTACACACACAGGTATCAGTGGTTATTACAGCAAGTATATGTTACAATCTAACAAGAGTTGACGAGGATGATAAGAAACCAATATAAATCTGACGATATCAAAAGTTATCAAGTTCCTCTGTTGTTACTAATAATTATCAAGTTCCTCTGTTGTTACTAATAATTTTATCTTCACGTTCGTTGTGTTAGTTGTGAGTTTAAGATGGACAGTAAGTCGTGTGTGTCGGCTATGGGAAGACATGAGTATTTTTTGCAACGATAGACGAATGAGCGTGAAGTCGAGTCTCTCCCGAGTTTTGTGAACCTGACGTAACAAACTAACTGACTCTACTCTTGAAAACAATTGACCTTTTGTTTTAGCATTCTACCTTATACACTTTATTTTATTTTAGTAACTTAAGAAGGATTTACTGTACATATAAAGGGGCGTTAGAGGTGGAGATATATATATAGTGTGTCAGTCCTCCTCTGAAGCCACCATGATCTGCGTTTTTCCCTCCTGGCCCTGTAATCATATAAGGGTCGGTAACCTACAGGTATTTTGTGTATACCTGAGAGGTGTTGTGACGGGCAGATCTACAACCACTATAGAGAGACACTAAGGAGGACGAATGTGGGAATAAACATGATAAATGAGGTAGACTGCGTGGCTCCGGTGCGCGCGCACACACACACACACACACACACAGGCCAGTTAACACGAGAAAATATATATCCATCTTTTAAATCCTTCAAAATCATAACTACAAATTCCAGACTGATGGCGTGAAGGCAGGTACAGCCAATATATCAGAGTAGCGAGTCATTACGCTAGTTTATTGTGTCGTCTTTAAGCCCTCCTTCGAGTGGGAGGTTCACCGAGTCTTGTTGCACCATCTGTATGATCTTGAGTTGCACCTGGATGAATACAAACAAGCTTAGCCGAGGAAAAGACTAATGGTATATTCCCGTTGTGTTCCTCAGTCAACAGGAGCTTAGTTGTGAGGCTCATGATAATGGCCGTTGTTTTCCCAGTAAGAGAGTCATGTGCTCGCCAGCCTGCAGCTCTCTCGACATCGATTAAATAAACTCTTCCTCCAAAAACAACTTTGACTAGATGTTGTCGCTGACCTAACAACTCTCGCCACGTCAGACACAGCAGCAGGAGGGTGACTCACATGTTGAAGGTCCGACTCCAGACATCAAGGAGGACAAAGACGATTCATTACAGACTCAGCCAACCAAGACAGTCCTGCCCCTTACCCTTGTTAAACTTGTATTAGTGCTGAACTACTGATGGTTATACCAGTCAACACCCAATTGGTTCAACAAAATATTCACATAGTAATGAGGGTGACACGTGATGCCAAGCCCAGGTGACCGTCGCTGTGGGTACATTCACGGCCCCTGGCTCGTGGATTTAAGAAACAAATCCAGATTAACTTAAGCGAAACATCCACAACGTTCCTAAAACAAAAACAATTGAAAGTAGGTATGTGTGTTATAATCTGAGGAGCTGTTAATCTCTCGGTGTGTTGGGGAGGAGAAGCAACAACAAGCGCAAAATAACATGACGCGCTATTATGATTCTTGTTGTGGCAGTGTGAGGTCTGTCTGTCTGGTGGTAGGGAGGTGATAACTGGTAGTATACTTCAGGACGTGGTGGTGGAGGGTACGGATGCAAGATAATGTATAAAAGACAGATGTTCCCCAGTGCTTGATTGAAGGTAAGTTATGGACCAAAGTTGATTTTTCTTGGTGGTTAGGTTAATTTTTTTTCTGGTTAAATATCCCATACAGGCAGCTCTGACACTAGGCAGTCTACCCTGTTTTAGGAATAGTGTTGGACCCCTTGTGTGTTAATACCTTTTGTGAACCATCTACCGTTGCTGTTATATTCTGACGGAAGTGTTATAGAGGTTCAGATTATATCGCTCAGGTTTTTGCCATATTTTCCACGTCAAGATGTGAAGCTGCTGGTTGATGGGTCAGACTTTTATACGTCCCTGGGTAGAGTACTTCAGCTGTGGTTCTCTTATTAAAGCATCTTCTACCTGTGACAAATCCCAGGGCTTGGCTTTGGGTCACCTCTAGTTTCAGTATTAGTGTTGGTCATCGTGTGTGTGTGTGTGTGTGTTTGTGTGTGTGTGTGTGTGTGTGTGTATGTGTGTGTGTACATTAAGTTCGGTATAATGAGCGTTTTTACCTGGTTAAGATTAATTTCTTCAGGTATTTTCTTCAGCTTTTTTTTTTCGCTTTCTCCTTCCTGGTGTGGGCGGCGTGATGGGTGTAGCCCGGGCAGGATATATTCAGGAGCAGATGTGGGTGAGATGAACAATGATGCACAGTGTAATGGGCGATGGAAGTAGGTAGGTGGGTGAGGGGTGGTGGTAGTGAGGGTGATAGAGGTGGGTGGTGAGGGTGGTGGTGAACTAGTTGGTGGTGTGAGGTGATGGGGAGGTGGGTGGTGAGGGTGATGATGCAGGGTGGTGGTGACTAGTGGGTGGTAAGGGGTGGTGGTGGGAGTAAGGGTGATACAAGTGTCCGTTCAACACACACACACGCTTCTCACTCACTCACTCCCACAGTTATATCGCTCTGATAAGTTGTGCAGGCTGGTATGCTCTCCTCATATAATGTGCTGGAGTATATTGGTGATATACTACATTATCCTGCACTAAGAACTTGCCTGAGTATACTGACCTGATATGCCGTGTCTGTATACTGAATACATAGTTAATGGTGATATACTGACCCAATATATACTGTGCTTTTATACTAATCCGATATACTGTGCAATTATACTGAGCCGATATACTGTGCAATTATACTGAGCCGATATACTGTGCAATTATACTGAGCCAATATTTCCAGCTAGAAAACTGACTTAGTATACTGAGGCGAAGAAAGTATACTATTATGAAAATGTAACTGAGAGGTAAGTGTATCGTGGTTAATGCCTCAAGTGTATCGTGGTTAATGCCTCAAGTGTATCGTGGTCAATGCCTCAAGTGTATCGTGGTTAATGTCACAAGTGCAACGTGGTTAATGTTTCAAGAGTATCGTGGTTAATGCCTCAAGTGTATCGTGGTTATGCCTCAAGTGTATCGTGGTTAATGCCTCAAGTGTATCGTGGTCAATGCCTCAAGTGTATCGTGGTTAATGTCATAAGTGTATCGTGGTTAATGCCTCAAGTGTATCGTGGTTAATGCCTCAAGTGTATCGTGGTTAATGTCACAAGTGTATCGTGGTTAATGTCATAAGTGTATCGTGGTTAATGTCACAAGTGTATCGTGGTTAATGTTTCAAGTGTATCGTTGAGAGGGAGAGAAGAATCTAAAGGAAAGGAGAGGAGGGAGAGAGGGGGTATGCTGGTAGAAATGGAGGGATCAAGTGAGATTGGAGAAGTATTTCCTGTTAGCGGGTAGATAGCGGAGTCAGCCAGTCAGTCAGTCAGTCAGTCAGTAGGTAAGTTAGTCAGCTACTCAGTTATTTAGTCAGTCACTCTTGTAGTCAATCCGTTGGTAAGTCAGTCAGTGGGTAAGTCAGTAAGTCAATGGGTAAGCCAGACATAGGTATACTGTATAGTGGGTAAGGAAGGTATTCTTGAAGCTCTCACACGAAACTGCAGATCATATCAGTGAACGTTATACTTATCGTCGTGACCAGCTATCAGACAGTCAAGGCCTTCCCCCCCCCTCCACACACACACACCGTCATCATGTCTTTACACATCCTGGCTACCAGCTGGGTCTTGCCGTCTCACATCACCATATATTATTTACGTTACCTGGAGATATGAGAACGTATGACTATATATATTGGCTGTAGTCTGTAGTTGACATAGAGGAACTATTGCTTGTGTTAACTTGTGTTTGGGGGAGGTCAAGGGGGGTGGGGGGAGGCAGGGATTCGGATTGGATATACTAGTTAACAACAGTGGATCCAATCTCATGTGATTAGGTGCAATGTTTTGTTATCGTCGGTGAAGGTGGGAATTATCGTAATGTTATTTGAGACAACAACACCTGTGATTTTCTTCTCAAATTCGTAGTTAAGTTGATTGCAGGTAGAGGGAGCCTCGGCACGTCTACTGTATCTCCTCTCTACAAGTAGTACTGACAACACTGACAACCTGCAAGAGTGACAACAGCATTGACAACATGCAGGTGTGACGAGTTACAACAACAGTGACAACATGCAGGTGTGACAACAACAATGGCTACCTGTTGACGCCACAACCTTCACATTTGCCCCTCCTTCTGCTGACCTCTGACACTCGCTGAACTATGCTGTGTAATCCCTTGGTGACCCTTGACACACCCCTAATTAGTGACCCACAGATCTTTGACCTCTGTCGCCAGCCAGGATTTTTTTTACCGTCTGTTTCCTAAATTCACAACCTCGACACTTACGCTAAGCCGGTGGACGAACTCAAGAACACCTGATAGTTTCCTACGGGTAAATAAACACCAACATAAAGAACTGAATCAAATCTCACCAATTCACGTTCTTTACCCCCCCCCCCCCGCCAGTCACTGTCGAGGGAGCTACTGTAGGATAAGTGAAAGTTCCACACATCCAAATTCAAGCATCTCGGTGTTGTTGACATTGGCTCTATGTATGAATAAAGACTTAATTAAATTTATTTTTTGTCATTCTCGATGCTATAGTGTGGTGGGTTGAGGGCCTGGTGTGTTGTGAGCCCTGCAGGTGTGTTATGATGGTCAAAGTGCAGGTGTTGTAGTGATGGCAACAGGTGTGTTATAATGTCCAGGTAAAATACAGGTACAAGTCACTAAATAGCGTTACTTGTCAATCAATATTACTGCCCAAAATTATCAATGAACACAGTAAAAAAATATATCTTTACAATTTTATGTTAGACAATATGACACAACAGACGAAGGATTTTGACAACCCTACTGAGTCAACAAGAGTCACATTGCTCATTTTGAAACTCATCGTAGCCCTCCGTGAAGATACTTTATTGGCTCTATAGTTCTTTTTACTGATATATACTTGTTACATAACTCATTAAATTATATACTGTATTTTTGTATTTTTTGAATTTACTTAATTCTCTATACAACCTAAGTTACATAGAAGAGTACTCACAAGACCACATTTGCATACATCTTCCGTCTCTGCTGAAGGAATAACTGACCGGGAGTGTGATATCAAGCGTCAGTCATATGATAAGACACAAGTTTAATATATGAGTGACCATGACACGCCCTCCCAGCTGGCCTCGCCTGTCACTTGTCAACCCCCGGGACAGTGTGTGACATGTGAAGTGACCCATAACCTTACCTGCACCGCTGATACACACACACACACACACACACACACACACACACACACATGTTTAGTTTAGGGTCGTCTATGGTTAAGGTATAAGCTATGGTGACTTTGTTCGTGTGAGGTTAAGGAAGGTTAAGTTAAAGATATCTTAGTAGGTTAAGGTAAAGTAGGTTAAATCAGGTTAGGTTTAGGCTAAGTTAGGTTAAGTTATGATTGATTTAGTTATGCTTCCGTCAAGACAGGGTTATGTCTCGTGGTTAAATTTAATTTCCTCAAATCAACTCTCACGTCAAGAATATTCCACAGATTGTGAGATTAACCACCAAACTCTTTGATTATTTAACCTTTTACCTAACTACTGTAATATGGCGCGGGTGTCAGGTAGGGAGCGGGTGTCAGGTAGGGCGCGGGTGTCAGGTAGGGCGCGGGTGTCAGGTAGGGCGCGGGTGTCAGGTAGGGCGCGGGTGTCAGGTAGGGCGCGGGTGTCAGGTAGGGCGCAGGTGTCAGGTAGGGCGCGGTGTCAGGTAGGGCGCGGGTGTCAGGTAGGGCGCGGTGTCAGGTAGGGCGCGGGTGTCAGGTAGGGAGCAGGTGTCAGGTAGGGAGCGGGTGTCAGGTAGGGAGCAGGTGTCAGGTAGGGAGCGGGTGTCAGGTAGGGGCAGGTGTCAGGTAGGGAGCAGGTGTCAGGTAGGGAGCGGGTGTCAGTTAGGGAGCAGGTGTCAGGTAGGGAGCGGGTGTCAGGTAGAGCGAGGGTGTCAGGTGGGAGGTGTCAGGTAGGGCGCGGGTGTCAGGTAGGGCGCAGGTGTCAGGTCGCAGGTGTCAGGTAGGCGCGGTAGTGTCAGGTAGGGGGTGTCAGGTGGGGCGCAGGTGTCAGGTAGGGCGCGGGTGTCAGGTAGAGCGCGGAGTGTCAGGTAGGGGCGGGTGTCAGGTAGGGGCGCAGGTGTCAGGTAGGGCGGGTGTAGGGAGGGTGTCAGGTGGGCGCGGGGTGTCAGGTGGGGCGCGGGTGTCAGGTAGGCGCAGGTGTCAGGTGTCAGGTGTCAGGCGCGCAGGGTGTCAGTAGGTAGGGCGCAGGTGTCAGTGTCAGGTAGGGCGCGGTGTCAGGTAGAGCGCGGGTGTCAGGTAGGGCGCGGTGTCAGGTAGGGCGCGGGTGTAGGGCAGGTAGGGCGCGGGTGTCAGGTAGGGCGCGAGTGTCAGGCGGAGAGAGGGACCAGGAGTAGAGCCTCAGCGCGGGGAAAGTGGCGGCACTGACCCTGGCGCGCCATATGGTTCGTAAATAATTCAACCTCACATATTTCTCCCAACTTTCTATCCATTCATCACGTAAAAATAGTTCGTGTAGTATTTTTTTTATATCAGTTTACAACCGACCTAACGTAGCGGTGACGCGGTTGCATGTTTGTGTTTACATTCAGGGTTTTGTAATGATAAAATATTTCCCGCCTTCCCAGACCATAACTGTAGTTGTTGTTGTTGTTGTTGTTTTAATGTCACAAAACATCACTGCTCTAGATTAAGTTTTGATTGTTTTTATTATCAATGACATCATCTTCAACCTAAAGCAGTCAATTGGCTTTATTATGAATGACGTCATAGTCCCGCCCTCATTCAACTTGAGATAACAAGACGTCATCATCGTTCTCCTTTCCTGTTCATTGGCTTCATTATCAGTGACATCATCAACCCGTTTCAGTTCTTGATTTGCGGAAACAGGAATGAAGTTGCTCCTTGATCCAGACCTTGATAGGCCATGTTATTGATGACGTCATTTTTCCTCCTCAAGACATGATTGGCGGGACTCTTGATGACGTTATCGTAGATAAAGTTTTATTGTGATTACGATGATCAGGAATGTGTGACGTAAACTGCTCCATGCTGTACTAACGTCAACATCTTCTGTTTACTTATTGCTACTGTTACTTCGCATTGGCTTAGTTTGGCCTATCAGCTGACTGGCCAACCAACAAGCTTTCTTCAGCTAATCTAAACTTATATCAATTGTTGGCTAATGATAATGTCACTTTTAAACACTATATATAAAGCTCTCGTTAGCAGAAAGTCATTATATTACAAAAAGATAAACTTAATTATTTACTCTACGGAACAAATGCTTCACATAAGGTTCACTACACAGCTAGGAATGTGTGAATAGAAGCAGATAAACTTTGTTGAGTCTGTGTGTGTGTGTGTGTGTGTGTCTCAGCGCTGTCGTCTCACATTTGAACTGCTGTCACCATCATCTTAACTGAATGACTGTCTGCATTTCTTGAGGTGATGGACACTGACGATGACAGGTGAACGAGCTATAGTAAAATCTGCATCACACGGTATCCGCGGTATTTACTCTGAGGTTGATTGTTTTTAATGGAACCAGAACATTAATAGAGACATTACACTAAAATACACACACAGGTAAGCAAATTTAATTACTCCCGTATATGTAAGATGGATCCAAGTTTTAATAAGAATCTGCCTACCTATTAGTGGAACTTGGTCCCATTGCGACTAGGGGCCATTAATTCTGGGGCCCATTGCGACTAGGGGCCATTAAATCTGGGGCCCATTAGGACAAAGGATCATTAAAACTGGGGGCCCATTAAGATGTGAGCTCAAAGTATAATAGTTAACTAAGGTGGAGGC